TAAACCCTAAACCCTAAACCACCGGAGGACTGGGAGCCCCTTCCGATCTTCGGTCTTCAGATGCCCCGGAAAGCTGTGAAGGGCGTGCCCAAGGAGATCCTATGCCCCGAGGATGCCTGGAGGCCGGGGGGTGCGGAGGAGGGTTTGGGTTCAGGGAGTTTTGGGCTTCGCGTTTGGATTTTAGGGTTTTAGGGTTTAGGGTTTTGGGGCTTTGGGTTTAAGGTTTTAGGGCTTTTTGTTTAGGGTTCAGGGAGTTTTGGGCTTCGGGTTTAGCATTTAGGGTTCAGGGAGTTTAGCGCTGTGGGGTTTAGGGTTTAGGGGCTTATCAGGTGTTGTTTGTTGTTGTTAATGAGGGGCTTTATCGATGTTCAGGGTTTGCATAGGGCTTTGGGCTTCTTGTATTTCTTCAGTGTGTAATGCGGTCTTTATGGGGCTTATGTGTTTTCAAACAGGAGCCTTGGGATTGGGGGCTATATGATGGTACCAGCGCGTAAGGATTGTAGCAGAATATTATTAGTTGTGTTCCAGACCTCGATGTTAGGGCTTGAGGTCTGTAGGATTTTTGGGTCTTTGTTGGTTGAGTTGCTCGTCGGGTATAGGGCTTACGCTGTTCCGGTTTTACCTGAGGTCTACATTGCTCTTCCTTTGGTCGTGATTCGTTACTCTACCGTCATTATCTTCCCCCTTCCATACATCCTTGCCTCACTTGATAATTGCGCCATGACTCCAATCCCGAAGCCCTAAACCTCTCCACCCCGAACCTTAACTCTAAATCTCTCTAAGCCCTATGCCCTTAAAGACGCACTCTCCTTTCTTCCGTTTTGTCCTGCAAGGTCCCGTGGCCAGTCCTCGGGGGAGTTCTGGGCCGCGGCCAGCAAGTTGGCCTTGTTACCGGGTGGCAGTTGTTTTGGGAATTGCCGATGGTGTCTAGAGTTTGGTGTTGTATTGCATCTGTTCATCATTTTTGGGGGCCCTGAACCCACAACCCAGGTTATTCCAGAAAAATTTTGAGGAGTATGCACCGCAGTGCCTGCCGGCCGTTGTACAGGCGGGCCCACAGGCTCCGAAGGAGGCGTCCGGCTACCCATGAGGTCATTGCCGGGCCATTATTTTTAACATATGAGTTTGACATAACACGCTCAGCGACGGGAGGTTCCGGTGCAGACACAGCGTGATCAGTCAGAGGCTTTCAACACTGGCTGATGCCCCGGGCGAAGTCCCTTGTCATTCCTGACATCGGGTAAACCTACCCCAAACCTAGTCAGACCCTAGACCGCACCTAAGCCCTCAACGCAAAGCCCCGAACCCTAGTAGTAGAGCCTAGTTGCAAAATCGCCGGGGTCTGGGCAATCCTTGAGCATAGGCTCGCGTTCGCCCACCGCTGCCTGGTCCCGTCCTTCTGTCGGGGGCGACTCTTAGAGGTCGCGCCTTTCCGGCTCGGGCAAGGGGCAGCTGTTGTGTAATATAGGGGCCTTAAAAAAACAGGGTTTTGGGGTATAGTATACTATAATTATAGTAAGGAGCCCCCAACATAGTATGGGTAATTATTTAGGCTCCTATATTAATCCTACATCCTGGACTTCCAAACCCCACAGCCACTAAGAAGCAGTAGGTCATCGCAGCCAGTCAGATCTAATAGCTGCAACATGTTCCGGTCGCAGTCGGGCGCAACTCCGCAAGTATAAGTATAGCAGTCAGGGCATCTTGCTTGCACTTGGTCTCAGGTTCACAGGTCCCGCAGACCAATGCAAGTTTCCTGTCGGGACTTCCGAAAAACTTAGTGCGTGATCAGGTATCTTTTTTGTTTTCGGGATGTCCCCTGTTTGAAAGATGTGTCAAGAAGTGGAGTGTCACCTATGCAGACCTCCAGAAGCCTTGCAATGCAGGGTATATTCAGTTTCTCTAAGCGACATCCACTCGTACGGCAGCGTGATCGAGGGTTTGGTGGCACCGGGCCACCTTGGTATAGGCTGCTCGACCGCTTCTGCGAGAAAAGCTCGGAATTGCTTCTTGCCGGTTTCTTGGAGGTTGGAGGTCCGATGTCCTCCTTGCCGTACCAGTCAGAAGGTGATTCGGGATCCTTCTCCGAACTTTGGGAGCCTTACTATTATCAAAACCAAAAGAAGAGCACGGATCCTAATACGAACGTCCGAGCCGTGAAGCCAAAGAGACTCCGCATATCCTTGAGGGAACACGCCAACACAGGATTTAGGGAGCCGTGACCCCGAGCCCTAATTCAGCCAACCCTAAACCCCTAAACCC